GACCTTGGAGGTCTTTTTTATACTGTGTGTGTGTGTGTGTGTGTGTTATATACTATATTAATATGTTATGGTATATTACAGCACATCATATTGCATGCTTCTGGCATGACATTTGCTTGTGTAAATAAATAGGCTGTAATCATTCCTTCATCGGAAACAAATGGGGTTAAGAAGTCCTGAACTAGCGGCTTGTAGCTTTAAAACATGATTTGTGAAAGAAATACAAAAGAGAGAAACCACCCTCTGTTTTGAAGAGTGGTGGAAAGAACATCTGTCCTTCTACCACAGTAAAAGTCAGGATTCAAAACAGTCCCTCTCTTCTATGAGGGGAGAGAAACACTTAACGTCTGGCTCAAGATCAGCATCAGCCAATCCGAAAGGCAGTGGGGCAAGACTCCTATTGCTGGGATATTCGCCTGCCAAAGGCTTTTGAAGTGATCAGCACAGCTCACGTTAATGAAGTTCAAACAATAAAACCAGAGTGAGTTCTCCTGGATGTTGCCGAAACAGGAGTTTTCTTCACCATTGGTTAGGCTTACTCTAACCCCTGCGGTGCAAATTCAGATTCACTGTACTCCACATTGCTTCATGAATATTAGGCCTGAGGTAAAACTGGGATTTTCTGACCTAAGCTTAGAGCAGGGGTCTTCAAACTTGACTCTTTTATGACTTGAAGTCCACAACTCATAAAAGGGCCAAGTTTGAAGACCCCTGGCTTAGAGGTACCCCACTTTAATCTTGCTTTAATATTTTTTCAATTCCCTTTTCTTATTTTTTTTTTAAGAAAGTTACTTTTCACAACCATTTGGTAATAATCTTTAAGAAGTCTTGTAACATAATGGTAACTGGAAATAATGCTTCTTTTAAAAAACAGCCCTTATTATTTAAAGGAAACAATAAGCTCCTTAGCCAATCACACAAGACTGAATGCTTTTCAAAATCATCATCGACAATGGCACCTGGTCAATTCACTCTCAAGTTGCCTTGGCTGTTTATACAAAAGCAGACAGCTGAAAAAATATGCTTTTTAAAAATGAAGTAAAAATGCATCTACTAGTGGTCCAAACAAAACACTGTGAGCAATGCTAATAAAGCTTATGGGAAGATTTTAAACTAAAACTTGAAATATAGTTGCTTGCCGCTGAACAAACTGGACGTTGCTTCTGAACAAACAAGAATACAAATATCTGGATTCCGCTTTCCTGTGGCTAGCATCCAACACGCTGGATCGAAGGAGACAATGCAAGTAGTTCTCACTGAGTGACCACTCATTCAGCAGCCATATAACAGTGAGGGGAACTTGCAATCAGTCCTTGAAGTTGTGGCCATCGTAGCATCTCCATGATCATATGATCACAATTTGGGCATTTGGCAACTAGCTTGTAATTACGATGGTTGCAGTGTCCCTCAATCATTTATAGCAGAGGTCCCCAATCTTTTGGGCACCAGGGACCGGTTCCGTGGAGACAGGTTTTTCCACGGACCAGAGTGTGCATGGTTTTGTGTGCTGCCTGCATCCCATGGATGGGGCTTTGCTTGTTTGTGCTGGCATGCTGTGGCCCGGTACCAGTCCACGGACCGGGGGTTGGGGACCCCTGATTTATGGCAATCATTTGCAACCTTCACTGCCAACTTCTCACAGGCAAAGTCAATGGGAAAGCTGGCAGGAAGTCACAAGTCACTCCTGCTGCTTTTTCCCCCAAAGAGCCTCCGGGTGACGTGGGGAACTTGTATTCCAACTTTGGATTGCAGCTTTCTACGTGGGGGGGGGTGTTCCACCACAGCGGTTGCCGACTAGGCCTTGTGCGCTGTTCTTGGGTAAGCTGTTCCTATAGTGTCTGCTTTCAGTGCTGTCTCCACTGTGCAGTTGGTGTCCAGCTCGATGTACACCATGCTCAGCCAGGCTGTGTACCGAGAAACCTGCAGGCACTCTAATGCCACCAGGAAAAGCAGCATCAGCATCACACGGTGTGACAGCCCACAGCTTCTGGAGCCAGGACACAAACAGGCCAGCAACTATAAGATCTTGCACCTGCAATGGCAGAGGTCTTGCCTGCTTGTTTGCCTGATATACGGTTTCAGTGGTGCAAGCAAGAGCTTCTGGATTCCTGTCTCTTCCCAAAGAGAAAACCAGTGGCTGAGACTTCAGGTTGTCCCTTTCCTACTTCTCCTCCTGAGCACCAAATGAGTTCTAAGCATTTTAGGCCACTGAGCATGGGACGAAGCTTGGGAAATAATACGCTTTTTTCCTCATCTAATTGGACTCCACGAGATTACATTTCAATGTAAGAAAAAGACCTGAACAAAGCATGCTTGCCTATAAAGGGAAGTTTGTCATGAGCATGACTTGTGACTTCCTGCCAGCTTCCCCACTGACTTTGCTTGTTGGAAATGGGCATTAAATCGCAAGTTGTGATCATGTGATGTTGTACTGAATAACTGCACATCGCTGGCTTAATGACTGCAACTGGGATCACCAAAATTTCCATCGTAAGTTGGCACAGTGACATCATTTGACATTTTACAGCTGGGTTACTTAGTGACGGAGTTTCAGTTTAATTACGCTCGTTAACTGAGGACCACTTGAACATATCTTTCATAAATGTGGTTTTGTAAAGTAGCACCCAATCTTAAGCCATTGTTTTTGTTGGAATTTTAGATGTACACCTGTAACATCAGAGTTATAAAAATTCCTAACAGATAATGAACAAACATTATATAGTTAAGCTTCAGCATATATTGCAAAAAAAAAAAAAAAGAAGATATTAAATTGGCTTCTCTTTCCAGGGTTAATAAATTTTCTCAGTTGAAAAAGCTGTTTTATTTTTAACTCTGTTTGTATTAAAGCCATTCACTTTGCCTTTAGAGCTCAAAACAATTCTATGTTGTCTTCCTTCCTTCACAGCTACCTGTTAATAATTTTTTGAAAATTAAGGATTTTTTTGGGGGGGATAGTATTTGATGATACTGAAATGAAACTAATTGGTCAAGCAACTATCATTCTTAGATTGCCGCAGTATATGCAAATCATCTAAATATGCACATATATTAAGCCATCAGGAACTGGACATGCTGATTCCAAGAAAGAAAGAATGAAAATTCCATGGGGACGAAATTGCTGTAATTGCCAGACAGCATCCCATCACTAATAACCCATTGTCTATACATTTTCATAGCTTTTTACACTTTTTTTCTTTTTCAGATGGACTTGTTCTTAAAAAAGAAAACACATGTGGAAAAAAAAATCAGAAAGTCAGCCCATGGCCGAGCTGAGTTCAGGGATGACTTATGTTTATTTAATCACTGTTACGAAAACTTTGAATGGAAAAGAAATACATTCATTTGCAATCAAAAGTCTTGAAGAAGGCCTAGGTCTCAATACCTTTTTGGCCATAATAGTCGTGAGATCATATAGATTTCTCCATCTCCCCAGTTCTAATGAAAAGGAAACTCTTATCTGCCATTCGTCTTTGGATATTGGCTAGAACTGAAGCACTGCCATAAAATAAATTATACTGCAACCTTCTTCATCTCTTTGTGTCATCTTGTGTCCCCAGAGCCAGCACAAGAGTATTTCTTAATATTACTGTGGATAGGCTTCCAGGAACACCGTAAGGAGAAAGTTTCTGCATTATTCCATTTATGCTGGAAATAGTTGGAAATAGCCCAGAATTGGTTGAAAGATGGTGGCTATATAAATATAATAAACAAACAAACAAACAAAGTGACCCAAGATTATTCATCCCATTTCTTTTCTATATCCAATTATAAGTTCTGGCCATTGAAGTTGTATAATAACAACAACAACAACAATAATGTGGGAAGGTACCTTGGAGGTCATCTAGTCCAACCCCCTGCTCAGGCAGGAAACCCTATACCATTTTGGACAAATGGCTGTCCAGTCTCTTCTTAAAAACTTCCAGTGTTGGAGCATTCACCGCTTCTGGAGGCAGGTTGTTCCATTGGTTAATTGTCCTGCCTTCAGGAGCTTTGGAGAATAGCTTGACTCCCTCTTCTTTGTGGCAGCCCCTGAGATACTGGAACACTGCTATCATGTCCCCCCTCGTCCTTCTCTTCATTAAACTAGACATACCCAATTCCAGCAACTGTTCCTTGTAAGTTTTAGCCTCCAGTCCCCTAATCATCTTTGTTGCTCTTCTCTGTATTCTTTCTAGAGTCTAGTTGCTGGCCAGAATATTTCAAAAACCTCAAGATCCTACCTTATGCCCCCCAATCCATTAAGCTTATCACATAAGAAACAGTGCACAGGATAGCTGGTAGTTGAGGGGACACTGAGCACCTTGATCTCCCTTTTGGCTCAACAAAGGGTACAGTAGTCCTCAATTTACAACCATAACTGAGCCCAAAATTTCTGTTGCTAGGCAAGACAGCTGCTAAGTGAATTTTACTCATTTTATGACCTTTCTTGCCACACGTGTTAAATGAATCACTGGAGTTGTTACATTAGTAACATGGTTGTTAAGCGTTTCTAAGCATTAAGCGAATCTGGCTTCCCATTGACTTTGCTTATCAGAAGGTTGCAAAAGGTAATGACTCTGAAACTGCTGCAACTGTCATACATATTGTCAAGCGACTGAATCTTGATCGCCTGGGGATGCTGCAATTGTCATAGGTGTGAAAAAAAGGTCATAAGTCACTTTTTTCAGTGCTGTTCTAACTTCCAACAGTCACTAAACAAATTATTGCAGATGAATTGCGAGAAGAGAAAAAGTCTCTCTCGCTCTGCTCCTGGCACAGAAGATGGTCAAAATGCAGCATCCTTCCTGAACTAGCCACAGTTATAGTAGTATTTGTTGGTAAATTATTTGCGGACTTACTTAAAAAGTTGCTATGGATAAAATAAGCATAATCTGAACTGAGCTAGTTAAGTTCTATTAGCTGCCTTGATATCAAGTGTATAACATATGGCACAAATTTATATGTGAAAATACTGGGGGCTTTCATTGAAAAGCCAGTCAAATCTGGAAAAAGTAACTTACCATCCAGAATTGCCCATTGCCCATCTATCTCTGTATGCTTCAGATAGGAGTCTTCAATCGTTGGGTCATAATCTGGCACGAAGATTTTTTGGAAAAACTGAATGGTGAGGGCGCTTTTCCCTACACCTCCATCTCCAACCACCACTAATTTGTAAGTGGGCAGGTTCTCACTTGGCACAGCGCTGGTAGCCATGGTGTCGAATGGGGCCAAATCTAGAATAGAAACGACATGCTTGAAACAGTGTAGTTTGGCAACAGCGTGGTAGCTGTTATTATAAGATGTATAACCCATCATCCATTCAAATGCAATTGAAATAAAATATCAAAGCAAACTTTGAAAAAATGCATAGACACATTATTTAAAAAAGTAATTCAGAAGTCCAATTTAAAGTGGAAAGGATAAAGATCATACAATGTGAATTTGGGAGTGAAACAGGAGAAGCTCTCTTTCTCTCTCCTGGAGCACATTATACTTCAGCTTAGATAGCTGCAGTCAAAAGTTGAACTACAGTTGAACGCCCTGTTACCAGCTGATTCATGTTTATGATTGGCAGACCAAGTTGTGCATACGGTGCTTCTTGACCCTACTGGAGAATCAAGTAGAATCCCCACCTACTATTTCAGCAAGACACAACCCTTCCTGAACAGACTTAACACTAAACCTCAAAATCCAATTTCCTTTTGACCAAAAGCATCATGATCTTCTCCGGGTGTCATTTCATTTTGCTTATCATTGTCTAGCTTATGTATCAAGGAGAAGTCAAAAGATGTAACAAGGAGCTCTCTGAAATAACAAGTCAGGCACAAAGAAGAGTTAAAAATATCTCCATCTGTTAGCTATTCTGTTATGGGGAAATTTGTTCTATTGTCTTCTTTGTTTGTATCGTATTAAGAAAAATATACGGTAAAAGCTCAAATGACTTGGGGATGAAGTAATAAATATATGCCACTTTGCCAAGAGCTGCAGATTTGCAGTTGTGTTCTTTTCACAAGATTTGCAAAGGCCTGAGGACCAGGAAGACGTGGCTTGGATTTCCACCACAGACACAAACAAAACTGAGGGTGAAGGTTCATTCTCCGAGCTTGCGGGTTGGTTTCCAAACGTTTCATTACCAGGCTAGGTAACATCTTCAGCAGCGTTTAGGGCAGTGTTTCTCAACCTTGACAATTTTAAGGCATGTGGACTTCAACTCCCAGAATTCCACAGCCAGCAATGCTGGCTGTGGAATTCTGGGAGTTGAAGTCCACATGCCTTAAAATTGTCAAGGTTGAGAAACACTGGTTTAGGGGATCCCCTAAACCCCACTGAAGATGGGTAACGATATGTTTGGAAACCAACCCACAAGCTTGTAGAACAAACCTTCGCCCTCATCCTACACCTGAGCTACAGATATTTACCACAATTGCAAACAAACAAAAATATTTCCTTACCTGAAGTTGAAGCTGATCATTCAAATATAACTTTCAAAGTTTAGGAAAAAGCTTAGGTTAAAATTAATTATTGCCCCCATTATATGGGCCTTCCTAAATTCAGGCAAGGTCTTCAAGAACACTTTGAGCAGAGGCATTCACTCGGACCATTCGCTAAAAGTTTTATTTTCTGTGAGCATTACATTTCCTAAAAGCGGCCATTAATACTCTAGTTCCTTCTGGCTGGACTTCCAAATGCTAGATTAGTTCAAGAGGAAGTCAGTCAGTAAGTTAAAGTTATATGATTTTGCTTCCCGTTCTGAGCAGTAATTAATCCTCACAGTTTGAAAGGGATTATGAAGTTCAGAACCCAGCCATGGAAAAAAACAGAGAGAAAGTTCTATGGAAATAAGGAGACATTTTGGAGAGAAACTTCCTGACTCAGAAGCTGTGCATGAAAATGATTTACTGTAGCCATGGTAACATGTGTGACGTTCAAATGGCTTAATCCTGTTATGAAACCTTCAGAAAAAAACACACAACTCATACACAACAGATGCTGGATTGTCTTAGTATGTTTGTGGTAGCCCTCTTCTGTCTCCTAATCAGCTTAAAAGCAATCAGTAGGACCCTCATGCATATATATATATATATATATATATATATATATATATATATATATATATATATATATATACACACACACACACACACACACATACACACACACACACACACACACACACACATAAATATACAATCTGGGTCTTCATCCATCCCATTCATTGATGGCTTAGAAAGAGCCCTAACAGTGCAACCTTAAGTATGTTTATACCAAAATATTCCCTACTAAATTTTACAATAGGCCCCCACAATAGAGTGTCCAGATCTTCAGTTTCAACCCTTCCAGATAACCCAGATAGGAAAGACAATGAGATAAGCTAAATCTATCTTATTGCAAGGTTATATTAAAAGAATCTTGCAAGTCTGAAGGCACAAATCTCCTGCAGCCACTTTTAACTGCCTGGTCAACTAGGGCAGGTCCTTCCTAAATTTCTTCCTTTGACTATTTAGCCCCTGGGGGCTTCTCCCTCTCTTGTCCCGTTGTTTCCTAGGCAGTATCTCCTCCTCTCATCCCTCAAGGTCATTTCCACATACCATTAGAGCAGTTAAAGTTGCATATGATATACCGATGCCTGCAGTGGCTATGCTAACTCTGCTTATGGCTTTTCTGAGGATCTAAATCAGAGGTGTCAAACTGCCGGCCCATGGGCCAGATGCGTCACACCAAAACCGCGCCCTCATTGCCGGCAATGGGAGAAAAGTCACGATACATTGCAACACATCACGTGACGTTGCGAGTTTGACACCCCTGATCTAAATACTGGGCACATCCAGGAAAGCCTATTTAAGTTGGTTTACTGTATGTGAGGCAACAAAAAAAGTCAGTCAATATTTTCCAGTGTCTGCTTTGCCATGATAGTATGTCCAGGCAAGTGATATAGCCTAAAGCAAGGGCCTTCAAACTTGGCCCTTTTATGACCTGTGGACTTCAACTACCAGAATTCCTCAGCCAGCATGCCTGGCTGAGGAATTCTGGGAGTTGAAGTGCACAAGTCATAAAAGGGCCAAGTTTGAAGACCCTGGCCAAAGCAATGTTATAGCCTACATTTTCTTAATCTCAGCAACTTTAAGATGGGAGGACTTCAACTCCCAGAATTCCCCAGCCAGCTGTGCTGGTTGAGAAATTCTGGGAGTTGAAGTCCCCCCCATCTTAAAGTTTTTAAGGTCGAAAAACATTGGCTTGCAGAATTTAGGCCAAATTAAGGTGTAGAAAGTAGTGAATTTTCCACTCAATGAAAAAATTGCACCTCCAAAAATGGGCTGGGGGAAGAAGCAAACATTAATTGATGGCTAGAATGGCAGGCTTAGCCACCTGTTAGAAATTTTACCATTTACAGCAATTTGTTGATGATTTTTCCACTGGCTGTGAAATCCACGCACCTAAAACCAGCAGAGGATTTAGACATAGTGAGACTATGGGAAACTGTAGAGAGTCTGCTTGACAAGTACTAACAGAGAATAAGACTGTGTAACAACTGAATTTGGCAACAAAGCTACCAGGAAACCTAAAAAACCCATGATAGGATTGGGAAGGTCCCATTTTGGAGGTGTGGATGCAAGTAGTAATAAAGCCTATCTTTATCTAGTAATGAGGGTCATGTAAGCTTCACTTAATTTTATGAAGATTTTAATGTATAAAATAATAAAACTATATCTGATTTTAAAAAAAAATATCTGAAATTTTAGGAGGCCCCTTCATATTTTGAAGCTTGTTTAGCTTATGTTTAGCTTATGCTGGAGTCTGGCCTTGCCCTTAATATGCCCCACAGAAAATCCATGGAACAGCAATACAGCCAATTCTCAATTTACAGCAGTTCATTTAGTGATCGTTCGAAGTTACAATAGCACTGCAAAAAGTGACGTATGACCATTTTTCACACTTATGATCATTGCAGCATTCCCATGGTCATGTGATCCAAATTCAGGCACAAGGCAACTGGTTCATATTTATGACGGTTGCAGTGTCCCGGGGTCACGTGATCACCTTTTGCGACCTTCTGACCTAAGCAAAGCCAGTGGGGAAGTCAGATTTATTTAACAATCCTGTTACTAACTTAACAAGTGCAGTGATTCACTTAACAACTGTGGCAACAAACAGTTGTAAAATGGGGCAAAACCCATTTACCACGTGTCTCACTTAGAAACATAAATTTTGGGCTCAACTGTGGTTGTAAGTTGAGAACTACTTGTATGACATTCTCTCTATCAACAATGTCTCAACAATGACCAACAACTAGAGACTTTTGCAGAGTACCAAGAACTGGGGAAGACGGTGTAGGGCCTGCATTTTCCCCCCAGTAAAACCCCCCATTCTGTCCCTCAATATGAACACCATCTAAAAGTCCTAGTGTAAACCTGGCAGCCGACACGAATCCTTTCTATGAAGTGTTTGTGTAAGCAACAAGAAGCTTTTCAAAGAGCCTCTCTATAATCCTCAGCTCCATTTGAGGCTCGCCAGGCATCTTCACCTCAGGGGAGCACACAAAACCACAAACCCGCTCTTCTCAATCTATGCTGAAAGGGGAGCAATATGATTCATATTGTACTTGTGGTGCTTGAATGGCACAAAAAAAGTCAGCCAAGAGCATTTCGTCTTGATGAACACTGAGCTGTAACGTCGGGAGTCGCAAAATTATAACCTCAGCAAATACAACTCACATCACTGTCAATTACTTGGGCAGGCAGAAGCAGAATGCTGCAGCTAAAGGGATGAGCAGATTACATCTTTCTCTTCCCACTCACGATCTCAAGTTCATTGGCAAGATTAACACCATCAGTAGATTTCAGGACCCATAACTAGAAGACAGAATTAGATAATTGATCCTTGGGAAGGGACCAAGTACAGAAACAAGAGCAAAAAGAAAACAACACCCCTCTAAGGCTCAAATATATTTACACTGATAGTTGGCTCTGCAGAAGTGTACACAGAAACACTTAAACGCTGCCTTTATCCTTCAGCTCCACTGATATTTAAATGTAGTAGTGCTGTGTAAGGCAACAGGTTTAATACCTTTCTCTGTGATGCGTGTTGGAATGGAAGTGACTAGCGCAAAAGATTAACTGCATATCATCATGTGCAAATAGCCACTTGGGAGAAACACAACTCTCTTTCCACTGTTGTATTTTTTTTTAGCTTGGTGTAACAATATTGAACAAATTAATGTTAACCTGGGTTGTTT